TTGTCCTCTTCTCTCTCTCTGCCTACGGTTTTACCGGGCAGTTCTGTTTGTGACGATATATATATATATATATATATATATATATATATATATATTGTCAAACAGAGCTGCCCGGTATAACCGTAGGCAGAGAGGGAGAAGAGGACAACAAACGAGGGGCTGTGAAGCCTACCTGACGAGTCGGTGGTGAAACCCCAACGAAACAGTTTATCACAGCCCCTCGTTTGTTGTCCTCTTCTCCCTCTCTGCCCATATATATATACATTTTTCCCCCCTCTCACCTCACATTTTTTTTAAACTGGCTTTCTGCCATGTCATGGAACATGTCGTTTTTCCTTTCATGGAGAGTGTTTTGGGTTTGCATATTTTAACACAATCGACGCTGTTGGCCGGGCGCCCGAGCACCCACCTTGTGCCTGGATGCATAACCAGGTGCCCAGCCGGGCATGAACCCCGGGCAAGGTTCCGGGCAACCCCAGCGCCAAAAAACAGAAGACATCAAAAAGTTCCCAGAAAAGAATATTGTTGTGTTAGAATTGCAATGCAAACGACTTTTGACTGACAGGGTCACATCAGAATCTGTCATCGGATCGAAGATAAAAAAGAAAACAACAGGGCCAGTGGCCAAGCTCAGTCAGTTGGTTGAGCATGCAAGCGGTATTCAGGAGGTCGTGGGTTCTCCCCCACGGCCGCCTGGAGCGGGCTTGATGTGTACCAGCTGAGATAGTTGGCTTGCCCCACTTGGCTGGTCTTAGGAGAAGCCTGGGTTCCCTTCACCCTTGCTCCTGCCATCTCTTGCAGGGGGGGGTGTAGGAGCCGAGGTACTTCTCCCCTACAGAGAGTAGAGAAGATAGCCATAGCCTGCCTTCCTTAGGTGCTTAGACATGGAGTTCTTGTCTCAGATATGTGGGTAGACACTAGATAGACTCAGGCTTAGGCTATCCCATATAGGCTCAGGCTGGCATAGATAGGGAGGAAGTGGGAGGTATACTGAAGAGGGGGGGGGCAAGATGGGCATGACAGGTTTCTTGTAAAGGAAAAAAAGAAAAGAGAACCGCAGAATCAGACTAAGGCACCCTCCTTTGAACCCCTTTAGCCCTTTTTAAACCAACTAGGGGACCTGTTGCGGCTACGCCCGCAATAATGAAGGATTGTTTGCCAAGAAAAAGAAAGAGGTTGATGGGTTTGGAGGGTTTGGAGGTGGTTGGATTTGAGCTAACCTGTTGTGTGTTTCACTCCTCATAACTGTCTCCGGCTTACCACAATTTCCCCTTAGTTTGCAAGAAGTATTCTTTCTCAGATGTCAGGAGATAGGCAATCCTGCGTACAGCATTATTACGATATTGCTTGAAGGGTATGTGCTTTTGGTCTGGTTGTCTCATGAATGTGACTTCCAGCATTGCACTGACATACTCCCATGAGTGCGAGTCACACAAAGTAGCTGTTTTTCTATCTATCTCAAACTGCCTGTCTTGGTTGTCCAAGTGTAGGACTCGATCCGCAACCTCCTTGGGTTTGAATGACCGCAATGCATCCCACCATGGATTGACATTGTGAATCGATGGTTGTGTATTGTCTGCTTTGTTTTGGACAGTGAGTGAATGAATATCATTCACTCTATTATATCCGTATTCTGCAAATGTTTGTTCTTTTTTGTTTTGCTCTTGGTAATCAAAATTGAGTAGGTTATTGAATACTGCAATGTTGTCTTGTCGACTCTGAATGTTATATTCAGAGTGTCCGCGAGGGAGATGTGACTGTATGCGGTGTTCTTTGTAGCGCTGGTATTTGAGAAGTAAATCGGGAGTTGGAAGAGTGTTTGGCACGAAATCTTGCCAAAGTAGGACATCAATGAGCTTTGGCAGACCAATCTCATTCCCTTTCTTAAACCAATTTTGGACTTGTTTGGAGGATGTTCGCGGGTCTGTTTTTGGACTGGTGAACTGCAAAGTGCGCTGGCAAAGTGGTCGTGGCTTGGGCAGGTCCGTCGGTGGAGATAGTATGGCAGGTGGTTGACAGTCAGTTGCATTTGGTATGGCTTGCGTGGAAAGAGTGTTGTTTGGTGATGTTGTGTGTTGGTTTGCCGATGTGTCATGTTGTGACAGAGACAAAGGTG